AGGGAAGCTGGGATAACCCTTAGTTTATCAGTGGGGCCTTAGGAAAAGAGGTAGTGCTTGCATCTCCTCTGGGAAGGAATTTTAGCAGCACACGCCCTTGTCTCTGGGGAAGCAGCTCTTTCCTACACAAAGACTATCCTTGGGATGTCACAGTCCTCGGGTTTCAAGGACCTTCATATTCAAGTGCTGACATCTGCTTCCTGCTCTCATCCACCAAAGAGCCCACAGCCCTACGCAGGCCCCTGTTCCCCAAAAGACCAACCAAGCCTCAGTGTCTCATTCCCTGCTTGCTGCTGGCACTGGTCACTTCATGCCCGGGCACAGAGGCGGAGATGGAACTCAGCATGGCATACCAAGGGAGGCATACAGGCAAAGAGTATTCAAGACCGTGATTGAATATTTCATGACCCCCTAATGGACTAGGCAAGAGAGAGTTGCTCAAGTGAAAAGGCCATAGAGTGGCTCGGCCACACCTGAAGAGCAGAGGTCTCTGCTCTGTCACATGGTGAGAAATAAGGATGAAAGGGCCCTCAGCCCAGGCAGAGCACACGCAGTAAGTGACACAGAGAACAAACAGCTAGGTCCCTCCTCCAGGGACCCGTCTGCGATGAAAGCACCAGCCACAGGGCCAAGTTAGCTGTTTGAGTTTAAAAGTCACCTGCTATTCATCCCAAGGTGAGAGAGACGTGACCAGGGGACAAGCTACCAGAGCCTGCACTTTACTGGGATGCTACTCTCCATCTGCCTGGAAGGGATTGTCGGTGGAGGCTGGGTTCCTGTCCTCCAGGCAAGAATAGACAGCTTGCTGGGAATCCAGCAAGTCACTCTGAAAAAAACGCTGTCCTTGTACAAGTGGTGGGAGGGCCTGAGACATTCTACCCTGAAGGGGAAATGAAGCCATCTCTAGGCTTCTGGAAGGCTGTGAAGGGTCTGTACATAACCCCTCCCTGAGGCCTCTCCCCATGTGAGAAACCTCAGACCTGTCTCCTAGCCTCATATCTCAGCCCCCGCACATTCTGCGCTCCTTTACTCGCCTTCCATAGCCTGTGGCCCACAGCCTGAGCCCTCCTCCTAAGACTCCGTTGTCTCCCCTCTGCTGGACACCTCCCTCCCCAGCTCTTTGTCTTGAGGGCCACTTAACTCCAACCCCTCTTGTGGTATCCTGGTCCTTCCAGGCAGTATTGTGGAACCACTTAGGTTGTGTCTGTGATGTCTATTTTGCTTTTGTTTTTTTTTTTTTCCTATACTCTAAGCTCCATGACATCAGAAGAGCGTTTGGCTCCGTTATCTTCTGTCCCCACTTCCTGGGTCAAAGCCTGGTGTGTACGCACTCCTCAATAAATTCTGACTCCAAGGATGAACGGTACTAACAGGTGGGAGCCACAGAAAGACAAACTTTAGCTCAGGGAAAGAACTTTCTAGTACTTTGTTCTGTTCTAATTCAAGACTGGCTGCCTGGCATGATAGTGAGCTCCCTGCAGGGGCAGCGTACTGATGGGGCCTCTGATCTCAAGTCAGCACCACTGAGTTGGAGACAAAGCGCTGTGACCTCTAAGGAACCTTGCAACTCAGAGGTTCTGTCACCCTCTGTGGCTTGGAAGAGGCAGCCAGTAATTTGGGGAAGGGGTGGGACAGGAAGGGAGGAAACATCCTTGGGATGTCAGGCCTGTTACTCTGGAAACAATGTTTCTACTACTGATGGGACTTTGGAGGCTGGGTGGGCAGCTCTCGGGGGTGGTAAGAACTGGGTGAGAGTGGGAAGGGGGAGCTCTGGAGTACCAACTATAACCCTCATCCCGTCCTGTCCACCACACCATTCCCAGGATAGTGAAGATTCTGGAGACAAAGGTAGGTTTGGTTCCGCATCTGGTACAGGGCTAGATCTGTAGGTATTCATGACTCTGGGGGAAAGTCTCCCGTGTTATCTGATAGATGAGTTGTATCAGCGGGGGTCCCAATGAGAGTGACAGTACACCCCACCCCCACCCTCGACCTACCTAAGTGATACAATAAGACTCTGAATTCGTGCTTTCCATACCAGCCCTATGCCAGCCTTCCCTGATACTGAGGGCTGTGGTCAGAAGAGCCTGTCATGGAATATTGGATGCTGAGGCTGGCAGTCCACCCCTGCTCCAGCTTGCAGATCCTGGTGTGGTAGCAGACAGGAGCAGAACAAGAAACAGGGCTGAGCTTGAGGTCTAACGGGCAGGAGCGGGAAAGTCTTGAGGTGGGAAGGGTAGAACCAAAGAAACGGCATCCCTGAGACAAGTTAGGAAAAAATATGCCTGATGTGTCATGCACCTGGGAAGTCGGAGGCAGGTGAGCTCTGAATTCAAGGCCAGCTAAGGCCCTTGTTAGCACGAGCTAACAGACTTGCCTGATAGTGTTTCAGTATCTAGGGGACAATGCCTTTGTTTGATTTACTCTTTCCTGTTAATTAAAAGGTGTGGATGCTGGCAAGTTGCAAGCTAATTTGTAGATTTTTACCAGGCAGAGACGGATGCCATTTCTGCCCAACAGGAAAGGCTTCTGCCCATCACCAACCTGTGGTGTCTTTATGGGAGGCCATCACCAGGCTGACACTCAGCTCTAGTGGTCCCCCGGGCCCTCTTCTACACCTCCCAGACGCTGTGTCCAGGCAACCATCTCACCCATCCTTCATTTAGCATAATAACCAGCAGTGCACGCTAAGATTTACACAAGGGCTACTTTTCTTCATATTTGATTTTTTTTTACTTGAAAATGACTCGCTGATCTGAGGTTCCTTCCATAATCAGGGACTTTAGAGAGGCATCATTAGTATTCCCAGGGAGAAGAGGGTGAACAGCATATCCATAAAACAAAACTGGCACAAACTGTCCTGAAACCCAGAAAAACACAAGAGCGAGAAGACATCCAGGGGATGAAAACGACAGAGGAGAGGACCGTTCTAGCAGAGACAGTGAAGAGAGAGGGAGGACCCTGCTGAGAGCCCAGGGGTGACTCACAAAGCTCCCTCCCATTCCAGGTGAACCCAGGACAGATGCAGAGACAGAGAGAGGAGGGAGGATCCAGCTAACAGGAATTTGAGGAGGACAGAGCAGAAGAATGAGCTGGAAAACCAGAGAAGCTGGGCACATGCTCTGAGCCCTGGGCAAGCGCTCTAAGCCAACAGAGAGCTCGAAACTGGAGCTACAAGTTCCAGACGACCCGGAGGAAGTCCGAATTCTGGAGACAAAGAGGAAAACAACCAGCTTCTTGGCTAGACAAAGCTGTCGGCTTCCAAGAAAAGGGAGCAGGGTGGTACTGGTCCCCTGCAGCCCCATGTTATCAATTCACGTAGCACAATGTCACCAGTTCTAAGAGAGTAAAATCACAGTCCTATGAAAGAGCAGACACACACTGTCCTTCCCATCCCAAGATCAAAGGGACGAGTTTGCACAGCCAAGATTAAAAAATGATACTCTCCAAAACCTTTTCTTTCAAACTCTACTTAAGAGTATTCTCCAGTCAGCCCGAAATGAGAACAGACCTGACAAAGGCATTGACCTGGGACCCAAGAAACCATCTGAAATCTTCTTGCCTCCAGGCAGGGTCCAGATCCCTAGGGACAAGGGGGCTGGGAGCCTGAACAACACCACCAAGAAGGAAAGCAACAAGACAAACTGTTACATTTCAGGACAGAGCCCAAGAACTCAGCAGCCTCCAGGCCTCGATGTCTCTAGTTCCCTCTCAGCCATTTGCAGGTGGCTTTGCTGCCTCTTATGGACGGCAGAATACTCAAGTACAAACACATACACATGCCCTCACAGACACTGAGAGGCACATGCCCATTCATAGCCACCAGCCTTCTTCTCTCCTAACTCCTGCCCTACTGAGCCACGACTAGGCGTGGCTAGTGCCTGTGTGTCTTTTACCTCCCACGTCAAGTCCCATGTCCCCAGTCTGGTTCCATCAGACTCTTGGGTTAAATGCTCTCAGGCAAACACAGCATGCTGACCAGAGCCCTAATCCAAGTGTGGACAGACCCCCATCAACCCAACAGAGCTGCTGGACACTGTCCTAGATGGTGAGTCCAGCAGGACTGACCTGCATACGGCTCTCCTCCTCACCTGGCCTCCAGGGCAGCACCCATGTTCCACAGAGCCCTCTGCAGCCCTGGCTGCCGGACAGACTCCAGGAGAGCAGCAGAAAGCCTCGAGTGATGCTCCAAATGGCCAAAATGGAACCAAGTTTCTCCTGGCTTCTCAGACTGTGGCGTGTGGCGTTGTTCATTTTTAGTCAAGACTTATTTATGACCCAGGCTAGTCTTAAGTTCCTGGGTGAACTGATCCTCCCAACTAAAGCCATCCAGGCTTCCTGAGAGATGACGCTTAAGTTTGCCCTCCATTTCTGACCTGCTGAGTGACCTCAATGATAATGGTGATGGTGACAGTGACAATGGTTATGCTGATGGTGGCGGTGACAGTGACAATGGTTATGGTGATGGTGACAGTGACAATGGTTACAGTGATGACAGTGACAATGGTTATGGTGATGACAGTGACAATGGTTATGGTGA